GCTGCTGATGCCTTTGGTCTCTAAAATCCTGCAGGCCTCTTGGTGGAAAGAAGGCCTCAGTGACTGCGACCCCTGTTGGGCTGCTGGTCCGCCCGAAAACCTCTCGTCCTTCCGGTTGGAGTAGAGTTGGTTGTGGCGGTGGTGGTGGTGTAGGTGGTTGTGCGGTGTTCGCAAAAAAGCGTCGCGAGGAGTAGGCCGATGGGAAGGCAGAAAACGAGAATTCGGGCCCCACGTCGGTCATGGTAGCGTTTAATTGGCTGCCGTCGTCACTTCCACGGGCAGTCCTCAAGGTGTTCAAGGACTGGTCGGTATTCTCTACAATAACAACAAAAACAATAACAACGACTTGTTTTAATGCTTCAATCTTAGGTGGAAATATCAGAAATTGATGGTTTTCTTGTGTTTCCCTCCTCGCTGCTGGATGAGATGACTAATGGAGACGATGTCTCATTTACGTTCACAACTGCTTCTGAAGGTTAAAAGCAACGGTTACAGTTATCCTAATAGTATTCGCATATATATTAGCATTGGAATCTCTGTTCACAGTAGTCTAGGTAGTTACAGATAGCGGTGATATCAGCATCAACGTTTGTAATGATAGCAATCGTAATTCCAATATCAATTATAAGTAGGGACTAGATAAGTTTGCTCAATTAGTCTGTATTATTCACATAGATTACATCAGAACGCCTCCATCTTGCTAGTTATCCCTGACCCAGTAGACTCCAAAAACGATATCCCAGCCCCCTAATTCACGTATTTCTGATTATGGGCGATTCTTAGTGGCGAATGTACAGATGGTAAGCGGGTTCTCTACGCCACCTTGTAATTTCAGGTATTTACGCTCTCGGAAATACACTTCTCATAAATTTTTGAAAACTCATGCTGTTTCTTGTTATCTCGTATACTGTAGACATGTACATAAGACATTTGAATAGAAGTGATGAATATGTAAATAGCTTAAAAATAAGCATCAGCTTCCAAACTCACTGATAGTAATCGGGCAGCATTATCTTCCTTTTCACGAAAATAAATAAATATCCCTACTTTTATCCCGCCTCCAAATTATTAAGTTGGTTTGGCAGATTTGGTTAATTTAGATGACCCAATCGTGAAAAAACTCGCGGCATTCGGCGGGATTCGAACCCGCATA